ATTCGTAATTTTCGCTTCGAAGCGGTAAAACGGTTCAAGTCGATTTCGACTTTTAGCCAGTTTTCGATGAATATATCGAAATCTGAGGGGTTTAGCTAGAATTTTTTTCAATAGCTGGGGAATATTATAAACATTATCTGTGAAAAATATGGAGACAAACGTATTTTATGATTTACTTAAAAAACAATGTATTTTACGCTCGAAATAACTTTTTTTTCTTCGTCGTTAATTCCGGTTACATAAACGTAATTTACGATTGCACATTCGTAACTTACGCTTCAACTTTAAGCGTAAAAGACGACTTCTTGAACGTAATTTACGTTTAGTTTTTTCTGTGTGCGCCAAATAATCCTGATGGAAGGAATAAAATGACTAATTTGGATTATTACTGGACATAAGATCAGGCTTTAAACTTTAGGTCCAGAAGGTTGTACTTTTTAATCCGACAGTAGACATTTCTTTCCACGAATTTTTGGCTTTCGTTTATTTGGGGTTTCGAGTGTTTTGGAAGCGATGAGGATGGGAATATCTACTGTAACTGACCCACTGACGTCGCTGTTGGTGTATTTGTGGATGGGGTTTCTTGCTTGAGCTCGAGGGCCCACATGTGCTGGGGCCATCCAGTTCGTCCTTTGCCTTTGGAGACCTCTTCGGTGGGGTAATTCTCCATGGACTGACACATTTCATTCTGTGACAAAAATTTATCGATAGATTAGTTTTTTGAGTTCTTGAATGCAAGTCAATTGTCGATTGGCAACGCAAATCACTCATTCAAGCCATCAAGATATTCAAGTTTAAAATAGTTGGATTTGAAAAATGACATTTCTAGTGATAGAAATTAAGTACACTAAAGAAAAACTACTTTATGAGAACTCGAACATGGGGGATATCTCAAACGAATGGAGAAAGTAAGGCGGTTTTCATGAGTACACGCCTAACAAACAAAAGAGAATTGAACACCATTCTATGAAACATGAATAAACGAATCATAATTGTCCAATCATTTAGGTCAGAGGAAAACAGAATAATTCTACTTTCTTAATATTGCGTTTACTAAGGTTTTCTTCGAACAAAGTTGATTAGAATTAATAGCTAGAATTATGAGATTGTCTCACATTTTTGACGTTAAGGATACGAGAATCTGAATGCAATATAGTGAAAATGATGATCGATTTTTTCACTTTGAACAAATAATAAGGGAGAGTGGGGTAAAACGGCCGCTTTTGACTTTTTTTGTGATACTCACAACTCAGAAACAAATTCATTAATTGAGATCAGTCTAGGCTCATTCCAAAGGGGAAGAAGTGTAGTTTCCATGGGAAAAAAAATTATTCCATTTTATTGAAAATTGAATGAGCTGTTAACATTTTTGAAAAAATCAAAAGGGGCCGTTTTACCCCACTCACCCCTATTAATATCCAAATACAAAATTTCCGATCTGAATAAAAAGAAGCTGTGACTCAATATTCCAAATTTTGTTTTAATTTTTAATTTGGTGCTGATAACACGAGATGACAATATTCTAAGCACGGAATTATATTGATGAGATGAACAACAGATTAATTGAATTACCGTGTGAACTAACTAAAAATTGATAACAGTGTGGGCACGCACTTTTATCAGAGAATGAGAATTCTGTGCTTTTGTAGAATTTTGTACTTTTCACGTATAAAATCCAAAAAACCACGGGAACCTGCAATACCGATAGGGGGGACCCCTGACCTCTGCGTGCGCACGGGTTCCGTTACCCCTTAATCCGAAAATCTTGAAAGCTCACCGTCATCTGTTGCGACTTGTTCCGTCGCCCGTTCGATAGGATTTCCGCTCTGAAAGTCTGCGGTTCCTCCCCCTCCTCGCTGTCCAACACCGCCATGAGGTACCCAATGTAGGAGGCAGCCAGTCTCAGGGTCTTGATCTTCGATAGTTTCGTGTCCGCCGGGACATTTGGAATGCAATCCCTCAAGTCTGCAAAAGCATTGTTGATACTTTGCGTTCGTCTCCTCTCCTTCTTGTTCGCTGTGTTCCGCCTCTTCGGTCTTATCACGACGCCATTTTCCACTCTGGACGCGAGGTGCTGCTGCAAGTTCATCTGATAGTGCGGGGGATTGCCGACGACATTCATCTGGTGGAGGGTGTTCGGGGGGTACTCGTTGGACGGTCGATTTTTCTGGTTCAGTTCTGGGGGGGTCGGGTGGTGCGGCAGGGGCTGGGGCTGCTGGAGCTGCTGATAATGGATGTTGTACTGCTGGTGGACCGAGGGGGGGTAGTGCTGCACTGGGGAACTGTAGACACTCTCTTGAACGCCGATTTCCTCGATTATTGGAGGGGGGGTTGAGGCTGCTGGACTCCCGGCCCCTGAGGAACTGCCGGAGATGCCGGAGTCCGCGCCACCCCAGTAGGTTGATTGACTGTCTGCGTCGGGGATGTTTATGGGGCCTGTGTGGAGAAAATTATTTGGTGAATTTCAACAACCGATTACCCGGGAAAAATGCTCTGTAAACATTACGGAACTCAGTTCGCTCACCGATTACGGAATTGACGCAGAAAAGTTAAGTGACGGTATTGTAATTTTTCACAGGAGATTAAGATAAACATTACGGAACGCTGTGGAAAAATTCCGTGACCGGTGCGTAAAATTTCGTACAACTACATTTCGTTCCGGAATTAGGGAAAAGATATGTAATTTTTATTGAATATTTCTCTCCGTGTATTGAGTTTGAACGACTATTTGTTGAATTTCAACAAGTAGTTGGGGACATTTAACAACTTATTGATTAAAATTCAGAAAAGATTTTTCAGTTCAATTCGTTAACCAAACTGAATTGTGTCTGCCGATTCATGAATATGCATAAAATTTCGTACAACTACATTTTGTTCCGGAATTAGGGAAAAGATATGTAATTTTTATTGAATATTTCTCTCCGTGTATTGAGTTTGAACGACTATTTGTTGAATTTCAACAAGTAGTTGGGGAAATTTAACAACTTATTAATTAAAATTCAGAAAAGATTTTTCAGTTCAATTCGTTAACCAAACTGAATTGTGTCTGCCGATTCATGAAGTTTTACCACTTCATCCGTGACTTCACTACGGATGAACTCTCTGTTCAATCGACGACAAATTCGAAAGTGTCGAACACTGAGAGAAAAATCTGAAGTTCGATTTACAATAAGAAAATAGTTGAGGCATTTTGGTGAACGATACGATTTTTTTTTGCATGCGGCACATAACATTATAGCAACTTCACAAGCGTAATTTTTGAAAATCAAAATGCAGTTAAACTAACCAAAGTTCAAAAGTAACCATGACAAATCTATCGTGAGGAGAACTATAAAATAGTTGCAATGACTACATTCCATTGTAGTAATTACTTCTCCGGCCATAATTACCGTAACCCATGAAAAATTGTTGAGGACTTTTTGACTATAATTCAATGGTGATGGAGTATAGTCAGAAGAATTATATTTTTCTCTCAGTGAAGAAATTGGAATTGAATTTTTTAACAATAACTACACTGTTGAAAACTTTTTGAAATTTACGTAACAGATGCATTTGAATTTTCAATATTCTGAACTTGAATTCAATTTCGGGCTAAATTGCTCATGGAATTCCTGATTCATCTTGGATATTCAGTAGTAATACCTCAAAAGCTTCAAAATCATCGGGCATTTCCCGATAGCTTCGTTACAAACAAATGAGGGTGTCAAGTTTTGCAGGTTAAAAAATCCTGAGCGCTTGCGCGAGAGATTTTTCTGCAAAATTTGGCACGATGCACGGAGAGAAATTTTCTAGAAAAATTCTAGTACGAGTACTGGAAAAAATCACAATCCACCGTCTATGAAAAATTCTAGTGCTGTTAAGGTAAAATTTCTTGGTATTTCTGGGAAAATTTCTGGGGACTTCTGTGAAATTTTCACAGAAATACTGGGAAAAATTCACGTGTTCCCCTATAAAATTTCTAGTGCCGGCACTGGAATTTTTTCCTGGCCGTCACTTTGCGCCTCTTTTCCCGTGCTAGCACTAGAATTTTTCTAAAAAATTTCTCTCCGTGTGGTTTGTTTGCAGGGGAACTTGAGGGAAATATCCGACTTAGGGGAATCTAGGGGTTTAAAATATTTTTAAATCAGGTACGCTCTCTCTTGCACTTGACAAACATTTCCACAATACTCTGTTGAAAAAAAATTAGCTGAATTTCGCGGATAAAGACTTTAATGTCGATTTAAGTGAAACAAGTCAATGGAATTTGATGTTATTCTGATAATTCAGGTAAAGTCGTAATTTTTTAGCGGCAGGAAAAAACTGAAAACGCATATTCACTGCAAAATTCTCTGGAATTTCCAGGGAATTCGTTCAAAATTTTCGGAATTTCAGGAATTTTTCGAGAATCCCCTGAAATTCAAGCTGAAGATTTATCTGAATTTCCTTTCTCATTAATTTTCCCGGAATAATTAAACTGAAAGTTACAGTTTTCACGGATTTTTCCCTAAAATTATAACTAAATCATAATTGAAAATTATTATAAATTATAATTTTATTAATGAATTATAATTTATTCATAATTTTATGGAAAAATCAGTGGAAACTGGAAATTCATGGACTGGAAATTTGAAATTATAATTTTATTAATAAATAAAAAATAAATTTAAAAATAAAATTTAAATGATAAATTATGATTTAAACTTATTATAAATTATAATTTATAATTTCAATTTTTATTAAATTTTTTCATGAATTTTCTACGATAAAATGAAATTTCTTGAAATTTCAGTGGAAAAATTTTTGACAGTGTACAATTCTTCGACTCTCACACCCTGAAAAATCCCCGAAATTGACCCCTCCGCTGGCGAATATTCCGCCAGCTTCCGCTTCATTCCAAAGACATCAATTTTTTCCAATTTCAAAAATTTTGAAACCAAAAACAATCCATTCCCCGAACTTACCATAGGGTAACTGTGTAATGTAATCATACGGCTGGTGCCACTGCGGGTAGTAATCCGCCTGTGCCTCGTACCCGCCCAGCATTTTAAACTTCCACTCGTCAACAAACCAAAATACTCAGCAACAAATTTTTCCCCAAAAATTCTCAGCCGATTAAATTCACTCTCACAATATCAAAATCACTGGATGCACTCAACGTCCAGAAATAATCCGCCTGCAGTACTGTTGTCAAACTAATTATCGAAACCCCCGTTGTGACCGCGACGTGGACGCGTGCGCGATTGCGGATGCTGCAGAAGTGACACTGATCTAGGGAGGACCCTGCATCGGTATCACCATTTAGACCCAGAGGAGAGAAAAAAAAACGCGAGGGCAAGTGGGACGGGACGTGGCCAATTCCGGCGATCAGTTGCGCGGGCCACGCCCCTCGGGCGGAGCCAGTCACCCCCGCGTATTCACGCGACTGGAGAATTCAATTAGTAAATTGGTGGCTTGGTGTTGGATACATTTTTTCCAGCGGTGGGAGATATGATTTAAGAGCCTAGAAATCGACGGAGCGGTGGTAATTCGATTTGGGGGGGAATTATCTCGGTATTCGGGGAAAAAAGTTGGGGAAAAATGACTAAACAGGTCGACTAGTCGAGCAGCAGAATCCATTTATAGGGATTTTTCTCACTGTATTGATGCAAAAATGGCGAGAAAATTAATCAATTAATTTATTCATTTATTCATTCACGGAAAAATTACCTGAATTGAGGATAAAATATAGGGGAAGGTGTGCCTGGACCGCTCAGCGGGTAATACCGCTCACCCGATTTTCTCCACAACCATCAACGTGAAAATTTCTTTCTGTTCCTGATCATGAAGAATTTGATGATAGGATGTGATTGTCGGAAAAATTTCACTTTATTTACCACTTTAAATATGAAAAAACACGTAACGAAGTTTTGAGTTCTTTACAGTGCGAAATTTGTGGACTTTTAATTAAGGTTTTTGATAGTTTCAAACGCTGAATTCTCATATTAAACTGTGGTTATTCGATTCGTGGTACTTTCACGCGTAATTTGAGATCAATTCGAACTCAAAACTCCACTCATGTCAATAATTATCAACAATTTTGTTGACGCCGAACGGAGCCGGTAATACCGCTCATAGGATCGGCCACGTAGTTGCTCGACAGCACTCGAGTACAGGTTAGGTTGCGGCGCGAGCGATACACGCAAAACCCTATGAGCGGCATTGGAATCGTCGCGAGCGGTATTACCCGACGGCGGGTAGTACCGCTCAATAGGCTCTCTCTTTTATTTTCAATCAATTTTGCGGATTCTAAGGAGAATTAGGTGTCTACACTTCGAGAATAACGAGTTCAATAGTTAAAGAAGTCTCACAAATACGTTTTTTATACTCAAGTTGAAATATAAAATATAAAACTGGCATTTTCCCTTAGGTGGGCGGTACAAGCACACCTTCCCCTAGGGTAAAAAAATAGAACTCTTCCATTTTTGTGGTGAATACGTGTGACTTGACACCGAGGACTGTTTTATTTGACTCAAGTAAATGTATCTCAAGAAGAAATAATTGATATTAACTGTAAGATCTTATTTATTTGTAAGTGGTTCAAGTGTATAGTACTTCTTCCAAGAAAGAAACATCTCAACATCTCAATACTCGCCGGAGGCGAGTGCGCGGAGCGTGTGGGAAATTCCACTTTATGCACTAGTGATGAAATAGTATATTTCGTAACGAGTGCGGAAGAGAGTTTTTTGGCTGGTGGGAGGTTTATAGCACGAGCCGAAAGCGAGTGATATAATCCCACGAGCCAAAAAACACTTTTCCCACGAGTTTCGAACGATATTTTTCATCACAATGTGTGGAAAAGGGACGTTTTAGGCACGCAAAGCGTGCCTAAAAAGTTACTTTTTCGCACAGCGTGATGAAAAATCATTTTTTCCCCAAATAAGACGTTGCGTTCATCAGAGGGTCAAACATCCGGGCGCAAGAACTTAAGAGGAAAAACCGAGGGGTGATGTCGCGGGCCTGTGGCGCCGACCACCTTTGAAAATGTTGAGGCGTAACACCAGAAAAGACACGCGACCCCAGACCGTAATAAAATGTAACCGGAGGCTCTCCCCAACAATGCGGAAAGGATGTGCCCCCCGAGGATCCCAACAATGGCCACTTCCTCGTGATATGCGCCGCGCTACCACTTCAAAATCTGGTGCACACGTGTTAAATATGTAAACGTAACCCTCCCCTTCGCGATAACTGGCTCCGTATCTTCATGAAAGGAAAATAATGGTGAAAGCGGGCGCAAAAAAGACTCCAAAATGTCACGAACAAAAGGTTTTCAGGAACTGTTGGAACTTCTCTTTATAAAATTTCACGCTCTTCAACGCTCAACACTTTTATTTTTCAACCCGAGGGGAGGTATTTTGGGGAGAAGTGTTCCATTCAGAAGAATTTTCATGAGGTATTAGAGAGAAATTTTCAAGTGGTCATTGACATTTTCCCTGGGTCCTACATGTGAATGTCGTAAATTGAAATGAGAGGAAAAGTCTCGGGTGCGCGTTGGCGCCATCGCGAAACCCGGCGTCTCGACACCCCCGATTTTTTATGACTGGTCCTCGGGCTCGACCTAGTTCCCTTAACAGAAAAATAAAAGTATCTTGGGTTGCGGTGGCTCGCTGGAGAGAAAAAAAATTATTTCTGCCGTCGAACAATTTTTCTTGCACACGGAGAGAAATGTTCAGTAAAAATTATGCATGGAGAGAAATTTTTGATAAAAATTACCCTATCGTTCTATAAAGATGTGCCATGAGTCATCGTCTCCTCATTTCTATCCCGAAATGTAGTAAATTGTCGATAAATTGTCGGTAAATGTGTTTTTCATCACGCTGTGACGAAAAGTGAACTTTCCGTCACATTGGGATGAAAAATATTGTTCGTAACTCGTGAAAAAATGTTTTTTACCTCGTGGGATTATATCACTCGCCTTCGGCTCGTGATATAAACCTCCCACTCGCCAAAAAACACTTTTTTGCACTCGTTACGAAAAATACTATTTTTTTCACGGTCAAGGCAAATTCTGTAATTTTTCGGTTGACAGCAGAACTATGAGGTATTCCACGAAAATTAAATTATGAGGTATTCTCTTGAAGATTAATGGCGATTTTTTCTACAATCGAGAAGGTTGAAAAACTATCTCTCAAATTTTTTCAGATTTTCTCAGCAGCCCAGTTGGGAGATGTGATTTTTTTTCACATTTTTCCGTTTTTTTCCAATAACTCGAGTACTATTTGTCCGATTTTGATTTATTAAGTGTCAAAATTTTCCAATTTTTACCGCCTATACGACTATTTTTAGTAATTTTTTTTTCGATTTCTAGATGCTTATAATACCGAATTTTCGAAAAAAGCTGAAGAACTTAAATCATCAAATTTGTCAATTAAATTGCGCGAAAAAAATTAAAAAAATTTTTTTAAAGAATTTATTTTTGATTTGAATTTTCAAAATGTCGATATACAGTAGTAGTATATATATATACTTATTCATATATATAATAATAATAATAATAATAATGATAATAATAATTAGACTACTTTAATGGAATCATCAGAGAATTTTTCATCTCATGAGATAAACCCACCGAATCTCGGCATGACGGATGCTCATTCTCGTAAAATAATAGAGCTGCCTCAAGTATCGAATTACATGTAAAAGATCTCCCTGACAGTGGTAAACGCCCACCGTGACGTCCACACAAGTAATTCGAGACACACACACAATGCTCCCCCCACATCTGCAAAGTTAATGCCGCATATTAACCATTTCACTCGTTTTTATCCCCTTTTTGTTGACGCACTATCAGCATCACTCGGGAATTCATTACCCGGTCGCCGGGTGTCCTTTCATTATTCCTCCTTCGACACGTTTTTACGACGCGAATTGACATTGTTACGAGTTCATACGAGTAATAACTCCTGTGGAATATCGTATGGTTTTTGCTGCACTCGAGTGATGCTGCCGGGGAAGGGCGCCTAGCCTGGGAAAGAGGCTGATAAAGCCACTTGAGTTTGAGTTAATTTAGCCTCCAACTCTCCGAGTGCTACAGGCTATTTTCCACCGGGGTAATTAGACTTTCTTATGTGGAACTATTGAAATAGAGAAAAAATGATTCGTATGATGTGCACTCGGCGATTGCCCATTTTTTGGGTTCAACTTTTTCCTCGTTTTATGAGGAACAAACAATCAATTCAGTAGTTCAAGTCAGTTTTGACTATTGGCCAGTTTTCAATGAATATCTCGGAATCTAAGGGGGATAGTAACATTTTTGTTAAAATCTTGTTTGAAACGCAACTAAAATTCCAGAACATTCTGGTCGACCATCGGCCTACTTCGAAAATCTCCGGGACCCTTCGGGTCATCAGTCATAAGTCACCGAAACACGCGCGAATCAGTTTAGGTTTAGCCTCTCACCGTACAAGTCTATCTCGGGCAAATCACCTGTACAAGTTTTATATCGCACCTCACCGAGTACAGTAGCTCTTTGAACCTCGCCTAGCTCACTAGTAATCAAGTACATCACCGGTCTTTGTAAGATCACCGTTTTGTTCAGTACATCACCTCTGCTGATTAAATTCAGCCTAAATTCAGTGACTCAACGAATTTACAGTGAAAGACAATCATCAATTTAATTAGACATTCAACTATTGAAAACCAAAGAGTGTAAATAGTTTTGACAAAGTGGTTCGATCCCACAAAATAAAGTGTGGTTTTTAAATCCGGCTCATCAGTAATTTTCCCAACAACTCCCTCCACATTTTCATCCCACATCCACCCTAAATTTAGTCATTCACCAAACAAATCTTTTTTGAGAGCTGTAACAAATGTCATTACGAAAATTTCGCTAGCTCGCTTAGATTCGGAAATACGGTGATCTCATAGGGTTAAAGTCCTCTTCCCAGATCTCCCGATTCCCACCACTTCCGAAGTCCCTCAGCTTCCCAGTAACTTCGTAAATCACATCTCAACCCACACAACCGAGCCGTTTGAAGCCGAATTTTACTATTCCCCGGCGTTCATTCAGAACTTTGGTGAATGAAAAATAAAGGGGTTGGACACGTGCACTGTGCGAGCTGTTTACGTTACAGGGTTGACAAAGTTGTCCCGAGGAGGATGCCTGGTGTTTCAGCGTGTGCCACCCACGTTCAGTCTTAAGCACCTGCCATAACTACTTCCTTCCTGGGGGTCCTGTTGCGGAGTCAAGTTAATGATACATTTG